AAAAATAACAACAATGGAAAAATACTGTATTTATTTTACCCCATTATGTTAAAGGTCATTCCAAAAATGAAAATTCTGTGATTTTCTCATATGATTACTCATACATTAGACACAATATGATTACTCATACATTAGACACAATATGATTACTCGCATCAACACTATGGTTTATTGTTTTTAGCATGGAGTAAATCTCAAGGCACATTTAATGATCTCATAAGCAGCGGTCACCATTAAGCAGGCATTGTTGTCCATACCGGACCAACGTCAAGCTATTATGTGATTTTTACAAGAGTGACATAGAGAGGAAAAGAGCCCAGCCTGAGCTTTAACCCCAACTTTACACTCCTGTGCCAGAAAGGGTGTCAACCAACCTAAATCTCTAGGGCATGCTAACAAAAACACACCAAAGATCCTGCACGTGAAGGAAAACTGAGTGTGGACTTATAGGAAAAGTCTACTTGTACATTTTTCCTGTTTTTGGTTGGCCAATTTCACCCTTAAATGGTGCAATACTTTAACAAATTGATATCTCTTCCTTAGTGGTTACACACTCACTCAAGTGTGAAATGCAAAAGGCTTGCCAAGAATATGTAAGTGCTTGTTTTGCATACAAGAAAGTGCCTTGCACATGTAAAAAAACAACGCTTGGATGCTCACAGATGCTCACCTTCCCAAGAGAGACGTTTCCTGAGTTGGAACTGAAGAGGCCGCTGAAACGGCTGGCTGCACGGTTCCTCCAGCGGTCTGTACCCATTATAGATCCTGGGAGAGAACCGCTCAACTGGGATACGGAGTCTTGATTGGGGGCGCTGGCATCGCCCAGAAACTCCGGCATGTTCTTTCGCCGACGCGCTTGACCCTGTCACAGACAGAGAGTGAGAAAAAGACAAAAATAAGAAACAGGAAAAGTAAACAGAGACCAGTGTTTGAATTGAGGCTGGGGCGGTCCTGGACCCCCATAAGAGTTAAAAGGACAAAACAAAAAGAACACAAAAGAGAAAAAAAAACTTGGGGGGAGGGGGGTGGTCCTGTACTTTTTTTTTATAAATTAAAAAAAATCAATTTTGACTAATAATAAATATTTACAAATAATTAACAACAACCGTAATAATGTAACATGTAGTAATAAAAATAATAATAATACTTATTATTTAAACTATTTATAGTAGTATTGACACATTTTTTACATGTGCCTTTATTAACTTCTGATCACCTTTAGAAGAAACATTAACAAATATTTATTTAAAAAAAATTTTAACTAACAACGATGATTTTAAAATTATTTAAAGGGGTCATATGATGCTTTTTTAAAGATCATTAT